GGGGAGGGGTTGCCCCCGCGGCGGGGTGGGGGGGGGATGTAGATGCTCTCAGCCAGCGAGTTCCACAAGATCTTCACCCCTCCCCTCCCTATGGCCCAGGCCCTCCTCCCCCTGCTGCCCCTCACCCACAGAGCAAGCGTGGCCAGGCCTGGGAGAACAAGGGCCGTTTTCCTGGATGTCTCCTCCTCTAGGAAGCTACAGGGCTGGCGGCAGAAGTTCCGGCTGCGCTCCAAGAAGAGGAAGGCGGGGGTTTCTGAGGCGGTTGGCCAGGCACCTTGGGAGGCCGACTACGAGCTTCTGCCCTGTGAGGGTCTGTTCGACGAGTACCTCGAAATGGGTAGGAGCCATGTTAGCGGCCACGGCCACGGCCTCGGCCGGCACCGGGGACTTGGGGGGGGAGGGGCAGCCGTACCCCGAGAAGGGCTCCAGCCTGTGTTCCTCTGGGTACATCTACCTTGAAAGATGATGTGGACGTGGGGACGGAGGGTCCCTGGTGGAGCTGGGCCTGCAAAGGTTCCGGAAGGGAGATTGTGGGGTTTGGAGAGGGGAGATCTTGAAGGAGGATGGCCGAGGGTGGGAAGGGACGGTGCCCTGGGCACGGGGGTTCAGAAGAGGGCCTGGGGGCAGTGGGTGGGGTGCTCCTTAATCTCCCCCAACCCTGGGAAGCATGGGCCAGGGCACATGGAGGGAGTGAGGAGAGGTGCACAAGAGACCCGGCCCTGGGGGCGGGAGGTGGTGGGCTCGAGGAGTTGATTTTCTCGAGAGCGTCTCGACGCCCACACTCTTCACTGGACCCTCAACTGTGCCCTAGCCAGGTGGTGCCCATGCCTGCGGCTCATTCCCCACGTGGGGTGGAGCGCTTTCGGAGGGCAGGGGCTGTGTCTACTATGGGTAGTGGTCCCCTGCCCGTCCAGGGTCTTACCCAGAGACAAGGGAGGGGAAGCCATCACGGCACACTCCTACTCTAAAGCACTGCATCTGAACCCAACACATTGCGGTCTCCGGAAGCCAAAGCAAAATGAGTGACAGTGGTGACGTCGTTCTTTGCATAAAAGGGAGCGGGACAGTTCTTGGAGAGTCATGCTTTTTCATAGCATGTGAGTGGGGTTGATGGACCTCATGTGTCCCTATTTCACTGGACAACAGGAAATGGGACCCAATGCTCTCCTTCAGGATTTCACATGAGACCCAGGAACCCCTTTCACGAAGCTCTGGGTGGGGGTGGGGGTTGCACCCGGCTGGCTCAGTCTGTGGACCGGCGACTCTTGATCTTGTGAGTTCGAGCCCCAGGTTGGATGTTGACATTAGTGAAAAATAACCTAAAAACAACAAAAGCCATTCCCTAAAGCCCCCCCCCCCCTCCAGAGGGGTGAATGGTGAAGTCGGCTCTGAAATCAGAAATGTTTCTGTTTCCATCGCTGCACGAGCCCTCAGGGTGTCTGAGCACCCAGGTTGGAGAGTTCCAGAGTCCCTGACCTCAGAGAGCCAGGGGAGGCCCAAGCTCGGCCAGAAACGCCTGCAGCGCTGTGGGAGCAGTCAGGGGAGAATTCCCGGGGGCGGGGGCTCTGCAGCTGAGTCTCAGATGAGCCGAGCAGGAACCGCAGGTGTCCCCAGAGCCTCCGGAGAGGAGGGCCTGCGAAAGGCTGGCGGGCGGGCAGTGGCACCCACTGGTGGCAGGCGCGGGTGGCTCTGCTCACCGGCCTAAGCGGGCGGACAGGGCTCACACAGTGCGGGCCGGGGGCCCTCGCCCACAGTGCTGCAGTTCGGCTTCGTCACCATCTTCGTGGCCGCGTGTCCGCTCGCGCCGCTCTTCGCGCTGCTCAACAACTGGGTGGAGATCCGCCTGGACGCGCGCAAGTTCGTCTGCGAGCACCGGCGCCCGGTGGCCGAGCGCGCGCAGGACATCGGCATCTGGTCCCACATCCTGGCTGGCATCGCGCACCTGGCGGTCGTCAGCAACGTGAGCGCGCGGGCGGGGCGGGGCGGGGGCGCCGGGGCCGCGCG